AATTGATCTTTGTTGCTCAATTTCCCTGCAACTTAGAACCCAGATTGATTTCAAGATAGCAAAAGGAACAAAGGTTCTTTCTCCAGTCTGGCTCTATATTTCAACCCTAAGCAACATTTATAGGACCAAGGTCAATGCCTAAGATCTTGGCTAGTATTGTGAATCATTTTGCTTTAGGACATGGATCTGCAAATGAGTTTCACAAGAAGCATTACTGAAATTGGCATTGCTGTGCAAGACTTTGAAGATTGGGGGTTTAAATTTTCTCACAAGGAGGTGCTGCTTGGTTACATGCTGGTGAGTGTGCAGAGAGGACATAGACAAGACTTATTTTTTGCTAGTATTTGTTTTGGGTTATTTATATCCCACAGATGAGCAAAACCATCCAAAATTGATGTGCTAAGAGAGTACATCCAAATAAGTATCATAAAAATTTTATTTCAGTTATAGATTATGTATATATGTATGTGTGTGTATACATATACATATATATACATATATATGTATATATATAGCATTATTGCATGTGTCTACTTACTGGGTAGAATTGTAAAGTGCATTTTGACTTATTTCATTTAATATATTTATTTTAGGCTCCCTCCATTTTGTCCCAGAGATTCTTTTTGTAATAGCTGAGTATCATTCTGTTGAGCTCTATTCCACAATTTCTTTATCTAGCTGTCTGTTGTTGGGCACTTAGGTTGGTTCCAGGACTCAGCAGTTGTGGATAGTGCTTCTATAAACAAAAGTACATAATCTTTTAAAATTAGCATCATCATATTCTTTGGGTAAATCCATAGCAGTAATATTGCTGGATTACATGGGATTTCCAAAGGTGAGGATGTGGAGAAAAAGGAATGCTCACCCCCTATTGGTGGGGGTGCAATTTGGTGCAGCCTTAGTGGAAAATGGTATAGAAATCGGATCTCAAAAGATGGGGTTTGCAGACAAGGAAATATGGCAGAGGCTATTTCAGGCAGAAAAGATAACAGTTACAAAGCATGAAAAACTAGGCAAAAATGCCAAAACTTTCATTGTGGATATAGTAAGGATTGATGGGAAGGACAGAAGAATGCCAAGGGATAAATAATGGGTTGTACTGGGGGTGAGTTGGGAGTACATGGAAAAGAGCTCTTATGCCATGAATTTACAGATAATTGGTCTTTGTCCAGTGTCTCATGAGTAGGCAGCATTGTTCTCACCCTCCACAGTTAAGAAGGCCATAGCTGAGAGTATAGAACTGTTTTTCATTTTAAGTGGGTAAAATTCAACAATCCCAAGCAATAGATCTCTGCTGTACTTCTGACCGAGGCACCTAACAGCCCAAAGAGGTTGCAGCTGTCCCTAGAGAACCCCCTGGTTCTTTTTGGAACATTTCACCTCCTTTTTGTGTTACAGGATTTCATCAGGGATGAGCCCCTGGATTCCTTAGCTAGCCCTATTCGGTGGAAAGCCCTCATTGCCATCCGATACCTCAGGTAGGGAATTTTTTGTTGTTCTCATTGAAAATGACTGTCTTTCCCTAGCTCCCCCTTTTGATTTAGTGACATATTGATCAATGCAGACCACTGTGACAGCAGCTTCCCCAGAATGAACATAGCTCAGCAGTAGGTTACTTCAAATAGCAACTTTTTGCTTTCCAGAGATACAAAACTCTGAAGTTATTCACTTGTTATATTCATAAGAACCTTTAGTATGTGAGACACTACAAACCAACATGTGAAGGTGAAAACACTCATTGTTCCTTAGAATCTCTCTGTCATGTCTCTTTCTCTCCTTCCCACTCTCTCTCATACACACACACACACACACACACACACACACACACAAATGGGTTAATCTGTGAAAACAGATCATGTAAAAATCATTAAATAATGCTAAGCAAGTGATAACTTTTTATTACTTGAATAAGATTGACACTGAGATATATTGACTTTGCTTACCAGTATGTCTGACTCTGGGTCCACACATGCTCGCAGGTCCTGTCGCCGCTTCTCTCAGCATCCCCAACATGTCAGAAAATGTATCTGATGCTTGGATGTGATTGTCAGCCCCTGAGAATGCGACCAAGCTGTGTTTGGAGTCACTATAATACTCATCCTTCTCATTTCAGCAAACTGAAGCCTCAGCTCTCACTAAATGATCATCTTAATATTCTTGAAGAGAATATTCGAAGGCTACTGCCCCTTCCACCTCTGGAAAAACTCAAAAATGAAGGCCAGACAGACAAGGATAAGGAGCACATTCATGTATGTGAGGGTGAGACCAGAGTAGAATGAGGGGCTGAGGGGCACTCTGGACTCACCCCTCAGCCTGCTGTTCACACTCACACTCACATCTCATTTCAGTTTCTCTATGAGAGATCCATGGATGCCCTCGGGAAGCTGCTGAGGTCCATGATGTGGGACAATGTAAAAGGAGAAGATTGTCAAGAAATGTTTAATGTGAGTAGGGCACTTCACACACTGACTCCCCTGCTCCCTGATCCTTAGCCTGCTGTTGCCCTCGAGACTCTACCTCATTGTCTCAAGGACACAGCCCACCTGACCAAGCTAAGCCAACTCTTTGTGGGAAGTGACTTCTCTGCTGCAGAACAGGCAGAGTGAGTGTGCGAATGAGAGCACGAGATGAGTGAATGAGAAGAATACCAAGGAAAAGACATTTATTCTCTGACCAACAGCTTCTCCGAATGTGGCTTGTTTCACAAAAAGATTGGGAAAGGGAAAGAGCCTTCCAGATCACCGCAAAAGTGCTGACAGATGACATTGAGGTCAGTAATGCCCTGGAATGACCAGGCTTCATTGCTTGCTAATGACAGGCATCTCTCTCAGGTGTGTGGAATCAAAAACCCCTGGGCTTCCACTCCCAGAATGAAGTGCTTTCCGGAGAACCTCCTGAGAGCTCTCTCCTAACTAGCACCTCCAGCACACTAGACTAAAGTTGCTGGGTTGCTTTGCATGCTTGTTTACCTTTCCACTGTCTTTAAGGGGAAAGTTCAAGGATATTTCATCCTAAGGAACTGCAGTGGGGAGAGAATGGATTTAACATCCAGTGTTAGGGATATCTTCAAACCATCCCATCACCGTTGTTCCACAGGCACCAGAGAACTTCCAAATTGGCTCACTCCTTGGTCTCCTGGTGCCTCACTCCTGTGACACACTGCCCACCATCCGTCAGGCAGCCGTAAGCTCCGTCTTTGGTCTGTTCTATATAAAAGGTAAGGGAAAAAATGAGAAACCTACAAATGAAGAGATGGTATCTATTTTCTTTTGTTTTCGGTTTTTCTGTTTGTGCATCTGTGTCCCTCTTTTCCTCCTCCCTCTGCTCGTCTTCTCCCTCCTCCTCTTCTTTTCTCCCTGTCTGTCTCTCTAGCCCCCCAGCCCCTCAGTTTAGCCATTTTTTTACGTTTATTTATGTATACAAAGCTAGGTTACAGGCCAGAGGTGCAAGGGCAGTGAGAGGATTCAGCAGAGACAGAGTGGGGAGCAGAACAGGCAGACTGATGGACAAAGTACGCTGCTTAGGGGAGCAGTGGGCGGGTCAGGAAAGTAGGTTTGAAAGTCCCTTGGGATCTGGAAAAATAATTTCTTAAGAATATGTGCTTCTCAAGTGAATCAACGAATAGCAGCAGAAATAACTTTTAGACTGTAAAAATATAGTATAGTAACACAGGACAAGGGTAGGGTAAAACAGTGTTAGTTGACAGTGGGAAGGTTTCTAGAACTTTATTGCTGGGTGAGAGGAAGCTTGTACACACAGAGAGGTGAAGATGGACCCCCAAAACTTACATAATATTGTAAATCGACAAAAAAAATTAATTAAAAAAGAAATATGCTTTTAACCAAGCTAGAAAAACAACTGAATTTATTTAGAACAAAGGGTTTATTTCAGCCAGAGAAAAAATGTGTTAAAAAGGGACCTCACAGGGCTCTCCCTGGTGGCGCAGCGGGTTAAAACACAGAACTAAGAAGCTAAAGCCACTTCAGCGTGAGTTTGATCCCTGCCTGCCCTGGAGGAGATCCACATGGTGTGGCAGACCTCTCCTGACCCGCCCACTCTCCCCTCAGCAGTGTACTTCCTCAATCTGCCTGTTCTGCTCCTCACTCTGTCTCTGGTGAATCCTTTCACTGTCCCTGCACCCCTGGCCTGTGCATAAATAAATAAATCTTAAAAAAAAAAAAAAAAAAGGAACCTCACAGGAAGAAAGGAATTTGAATTCTATTACTATTCCATTCTTTTTTGGTCTACTTTATTTCCCTGAAGCAGGCAAAATTCAATACTCTTTGTTAACAAGAAATCCTACACTTCACTATTCACCTCAACATTTTTCTTTTTAAACCGGAAATATAAGACTGTGATTATTAAATACCTACTAGATACAACTTAACTACTGATACTAAATTAAATGCTTGTTAATATCCATGTATGTTGCTCAGGCTTCTTTTTCTAATGTTATTGAGATATAATTGGCATGTAACAGTATTAGTTCCAGGAGTATAGCACAATGGTTCAACATTTTTATACATTGTGAAGTGATCACTACAATAAACCTAATTAACTCATTAGCTTATTACCATTACTGGCACTGAGTAAAATTACAATTGTAGAAATTACAATTCTTTTCTCATGATGAGAACTTTTAAGACCTGCTCTGTTAGTCACAAATGTACAACATTATTAACTATAGTCATGCTGTACCTTACAAACCATTACATACATTTTTTTTTAAAGATTTATTTGTACATACAGAACTGGGGTACAGGCCAGAGGCTCAGGGGCGGTGAGAGGCTTCACCAGAGACAGAGTGGGGAGCAGAACACGCAGATCGACAAAGTACACTGCTGAGGGGAGCAGCGGGCAGGTCTGGAGAGGTCTGCCACGCCATGTGGTCACCTGCCACCATGTGGTCACCTCAGGGGCAGGTGGCGGGATCGAATTCATGCGGAAGTGGCTTCAGCTTCTCAGTGCAGCGCATTAACCCCCTGCGCCACCAGGGAGGGCCCCATTACATACATTTTATAGCTGAAACTGGATATTTTTTGATTACCTTTACCCACTTTGCCTACCACCTAACCTTAGCCTCTGGCAAACCTCAATATGTTCTCTTGATCTGTGAGGTTGGGATTTTTAAAATTTGTCTTCTAGATTCTACCTTTAAATGAAATCATATGGTATCTGTCTTTCTCTAACTGACTGATTCCACTTAGTATCATCTCCTAGAAGTTTATCAGTGTTGTCACAAACAGCAAGATTTCATTTCTCTTTTATGACTGAGTAATATTGCATTTTATATAATAACTACTTTTTCTTTATGTATTCCTCCATTTGGGGACACTTAGTTATTTCGTGTCTTACTTATTTTAAATAATGTTGCAATGAACAGGGGGATGCTTCCATCTTCTTGAGTTAGTTTTTGAATTCTTCAGATAAATACTCAGAAGTGGGTTTGATGGACCCTAGGAGATGGCCATTTAAAATACTTGAGAAAGCTCCACACCGTTTTCCATAGTGGCTGCACCAATTTGTATTCCCCCTACCCGCTGTGGTTTAGATTAGTAATGCTGAGCACACTTTTGTGTCTGTTGTGAAGCAAGTGAGTTATTGGGAAATGGTGGTAGGAAGGAGGGGACCCGCCATACCAGATTTGTATGATCAGCTCGTAACATGCAGGTTACCCAGGCAGGCGGCTCACAGAGGACTCGAGGGTGAGTGTGTTTTTGTGTGTGTGTGCATTTTGAAACTGTTTGCATGGCTCAGTTCAACTGGTGTGCTTTCTTTTGCACTCATATACAGAATTCAGACTATGCTGAGAGTGTTCCCTAGCTCACCAATGTCACTGGAACAAATCTGCATTTTCAGCAAGCCTGCTCTGATGCCATTTGCATATCTTCTCTGGAAAATTGTTTATTCACATCCTATATCCATTTTTTATTGAATTCTTTATTTTACTGTTGAGCAAGACTGCTTTATATATTATGGGTATTAGCCCTTTATGTGTTCTGCAACTATTTCCTCCATTTGGTAAGCTGCTTCTCGGTCATTTTTGAAGGATTTGACATTAAGAAATTGGTAGTTACTTGGGCCACGGTAAGTAATGAAGCTGCATTTTAAAACCAGTTCTGACTCCAAAGTGTTCCTTTTGGCTAGGTAGTGTGTTCCATTGGGTTAGACTTCCATAAAATGATTCAGGTGTTAATGGAATATTACTCAGCAACCAAAAAAGAGAAACACATGTCTTTTGCAGCAACTTGGATGGAGCTGGAAAAGATCATGCTTAGTGAGATAAGCCAGAAAGAGAAAGAAAAATACCGGATGGTTTCACTCATAGCAGGAGTATAATGGACCAGGCGAGAAAATAACAAAAATAATGAACAACCATATACCAGAGACATTTTGTGGGGGTAGAGTGGGGAATGGGATCAAAAATGGGGGGGAAAAGGAAGGGAAATGCACGGGACTATGGTGGAGGTACACGGATGATTTGGTGATGGGAAACCCGCGGGGATTACAATCGAGATGGAAAAAAAAATGTGCAAAATGATGTAAAAATAAACTTTTGTAATAAAAAAAAATGATTCAGGTGTTAATGGCCACAATGATGATACATCTAAAGAACACCCAAAATCATTACCATTTAGCTTTGCATTTGTAAATTAATACCAACATCACTTAGGCTGTTGTTAAAGTAAACTCTATTATACTTGTCACTTTTCCTTTTCCACAGTTTTTCTCACTGCAAAATGGAACTCCAGTGGAGGCAGCAGTAAAGCAGAGTAGCCCAAGATGGAGCATTAGTCTCAGACAAACCACAGTTCAAATTACAACTCTCCTGCTTTCACTCATTGCATGAACATGGCCAAATGACTTCACATCTTTCTGCCTGTTTTCTCATTTGCAAACTAGAGACAAAAACTAGGAAGTTCACCTCAACAATATTTTGAGTAACAAGTGAGATCATTGCAGGAATAATATCTGACATGTACAAACTACTCAATACATATTTGCTGAGTCCTCACCATCTCATTAGACAGCCTTGTAATAAAGGGCTCCAACAGCTGGTTGAGTATCTCATCAAAATAGAGTCAGCCCAATCTTGCTTGGTCTTTTAACTTTTATATGTGTCTCCTTTATTGATTTTAGGCATTCAACTGGAAATGGAAAGGCTGCAGCATTTGCAGGAAGGGCTAGAATGCAATGATGGTCAGGTCCATATCAAGATTTCTGCTAAAATAGCAAAGGTAAGAGAACTGGAGGACTGCTGGGGATTGTAGAGATGATACTAATTGATTTCTCTTTTTTGCTAAAGATTTATTTATTTATGCATGCAGGCCAGTGGTGCAGGGGGTGAGAGGATTCATCAGAGACAGAGTGGGGAGGAGATTGACAAGGTACACTGCTGAGGGGAGCAGCAGGCGGGTCAGGAGAGGTCTGCTTCACCATGTGGGTCACCACCCCGGCTGGGGATCAAACTCATGCTGCAGTGGCTGCAGTAGCTTCATGGTGCTGTGCTTTAACCCGTTGCGCCATCAGGAAGGGCCCGATTCTTGTTGACTTCTAAGTGAGTGTGCTCACACCACCGTGAAGAAAGACAGCAACATAGCCATGCAAGTCAGCTGAAAGAACTTTGTCTTTCACTATTGCTTGGGTTCATGTTGCCATTCCGCACTTGCTACTGATCATTCATAATCTGGGAAACCTTGTGACCAAAGTGACCCTCTCCAGAGTGAAGGTCACAGTGGAGTGCAGTAGAAGGAACAAATGTACTGGGATCACTTAGACCCCTCTGTGTGCTGCTTCATGCTCAATCTCATCTTCAAAATCAAATGCATATAACCCACTGCCCAGAGCTGTGAGAATGGTTTGATCAGTTCATTCACTTATTTAGTCATTTATTTATTTACCTAACATGCCCTGCTTGTGCTCCTATGTATGCCAGACTTAACTAGACTCCAAGAATAGAAAAAGAGAAAAGATCTGGCCTCAGTGAGTTTGCATCCCAGCAGAGTCAGCAACTAATGTACATCAGGTAGCAAACACTGAGAAAAGAATGGCAAGTAAGGGACCAGAGAAGGCTACTGTGTGAGAAAGAACCATGGAGACATCTAGAAAGAAGCATTCTGGGCAGAGAACAAATAACGAGGGCAAAGATCTTAGGAAGAGAAAAAGGAGAGTAATGAGATCCAAGCAGTAGTTCAAGGCTAATTCAGGGATCTTCTAGCCCTTGTTCAGGACCTTGGATTTTTCTCCAGTTGAAATCACAAGTAGGAGGTTTTCAGCAGAAGAGTTAGGACCATTACACAGAACAAGAACAATCCTGGGAAACGGCCACATTCCTAAAGCAAACATTGTAGATTTATATATGAATTACGCTAATTTTCCACAGCTGGCAATAAATAGTTCAACAAAATCAGTGCATTATAGCTACATATTTATAAAGACAATGAGCTACCTTAAGAACAGAGAGTCTTTTCTAAATTTACAAGTACATTTCGGGGTTAGTGGTGGCTCCCTGAGGATCATGCTCACGTCAGATTTACACTTCTGACTTCTTGGATGGGACAAGCATTTAGACTGACAAGAGGGGAATTCCTGAAATTGGTTTGGAGGAAACGATAAGAATCCAAATGTGAGATGAGCTGACTTAGACTAAGGTTGCAGTAGGAAAGACAACAAGAAAATAATCAGAATATGGGAGAGAAATGGAGGATAGGGAGGGAATGTTATCATATCCACAAACTCACCATCATGATTGTCTTGCTTATTTTAAACCCAGATGATTCTCCTGAAATTCATTCAGACTGACAGCTTCATACCCCTGTTGCCTTTTCACTAACACATGGAACATGTACAAACATACTGAGTGACAGACATAGTTATACACACACACAATCAACTGAACATTCTGAAAAGTGCTTGCACTTAGAGTCCAAAATTGCATAGGTTTTATTTTACTGACCTTTCACTAACTACCAAGTCCTGGAGACTTGGAAGAGTGCAGGCAAGATCATCAGAATTCATGCTCTGTGTGGATATGGAGGTGCCTGGGATGAAGCGTGGCACTTAGTACATGCTGTTACATTTTCCTGAGTTTTCAAGTCTTGAGTATTCATTGGCAGATGAAAGACATATTCCTGTGACATATGAAACATATATGAACGTGCTTTATTTGCTACATATAAGTTGCTTTATCAACATCATGCATTATCTCCTTCTTTTGGGACATACTTAATCTTAAGTTTGGGGATGACATTGCCTGAACAGATTTAGGATTCAATAAAAATGAAAATACAGGACCCTCTCTGTCTTTAGCACAACGGTTAAAACATAGCACCATGAAGCTATTGCAGCCACTGCAGCACGAGTTTGATCCCCAGCCAGGGAGAAGACCTACATGGTGCAGCAGACCTCTTCTGACTCACCCACTGCTCCCCTCAGCAATGTATTTCAGTCAATGCACCTGTTCTGCTCTCCACTCTCTGAGATTTATCTCCGGTGAATCCTCTCACCACCATTGCACTTCTGGCCTGTTCCCCAGTTCTTGTATGCATAAGTAAAGAAAACTTTATAAAAAATGAAAAGGCAAAACTTTGCAGTTTCAGGCAAAGTTTATAGAGTTAAAATGTCACTTGTATGCCCTATGGTACTATGATTCCAGTTATGTGCTATTTGGAATTGCTATTGTAGGTATCCAGGTATGAAGTGGGGTGGTTGCTGACATGAACCTTTCTGGGTGCCTTTCCAGATTATCAGCAAGTTCATCCCAAGTGAAGAGATCCTCGTGTTCCTAGAAGAAACACTGGATGGCCTGGAGAGCCTCAGCCCCACATGTGCAAGGGCCTGCGGTGTGTGGTTGATGGCTGCCCTGAGGGAGCACGGTGCCACTTTGGAAGAGCAGGTGAGTCTACAGCCAGTTTGGCAGTGAATGGAACCTCAGTGCTTGCGAAATACCAGGTCATTTGCTGATTCTCAACTTGTCCTCTGGTGGGCCACAGGCAAGAGCATGTGCAGCCTCAAAAAGACCCAGAGACTAAAGCTGTAGTTTCACAGCAGGTTCATGTTGATGTCCATCTCAAGCTGCTCCAACGGCCTCTCTAGTAAGTGTTCATAAAGCTTTTCTAGTGCATTCCTCTCTGGTCAGAGAAAGCATCTTAGAACCGAGAGCAGTGGGACCGTGGAAAAGCAGCATATTGTGACATTTGTGGGGGCAGCAGCAGTTGCTCACCCCGCTGTCATTCTTGGGCACACACAACTTAAGGTGTATTTGCTATTAAGGCTAGAAAAGAAAAAGTGAGCAGGATTTCAAGTCAGGAAAGTGAGTGATGCTCCAGCCTCTCTTGATGTCAGAAACAGAACAAAAGCAGCTCAAGGAGTACTAAGGAGGAAAAGATTCATTCACTCAGTTAAGGTAACTGAAGGGGCTAGAAGAAAGAAGTTCTGATCCCAGAGCCAAGAATCAGTCACCTGAAATTAAGGAATTCTCCACAGCATGATGTGAAAAAAAAATAACTATAAATAACGTGTATGCTAACTACGTTCCAATCAGTTTTATCAAAAACATTTATTGAGCTTGTACAGTGTGACAGGCACTGGACTAAGCAAATAAGAATAGAATCAAAGGTTACTAAATTTGGAATGTCCATTATTTTTGTATTTAGCATGGAGGTAGTTCACATACGGGAAAACACTTTCAAAAGGAATTTTAACATCATTGAAATGGGACTCTGTGGTAAATCATGTTTGCAGAATATTTATGATTAAACTATAACTCAGAAAAATACTAAATTTAATCTAAACTGTCCATCTAAAACAAGGAAAATACTAGAAGCATAAAATACTCTGTGCCAAAGAGAAGCCCTTCTCCATGTCAGAAATACAAATGTGTATCCATCCCTACTGCCACAGCTTAACATCCAAATTCAGAAAGATCACCTTCAAAGGTGGTCTCATTCTATCTTCTCCAACAAGTTATCTCCTTTTATCACCCTCCTCTCTCTGTACTCCATATCAGACCTATCTTACTCCAGAAACCTTTTCCATAATTGTTTGTACTCATACTCATGTGTTCTTTTTAATTGGGGGTTTTATTTTTTACAGCAGTTTTATGTCCTGGCAAAACTGAGTAGTTCCCGTATATCTCCTGTTCCTGCTCCTGCTCATTCTCCCCAACCTTCCCCACGCCAGTGACAAATTTATTGTTATATAGTCTCCCAAAATGCATAATTTACTTTAGGTTCACTCCTGGCTTTGAACATTCCATGTATTTTGCCATGCATCCCCATTATAGTGACTGATGGGGAAGTTCCACTGCTCTAAAAAATCTTTGTGTTCCACCAATTCTCAGGCTTTTTGATTTTACATCTTTACTTGTGTCTATTTTTTTTCCTTTTTAAAATTTTATATCTATATTTTTTACATCTTTCTTCATTTTGTACATTTTCCATCTGAGTTATAATCCCTGTGGATTTCCCACCACCATTTCATCCATGTGCTATCAACAAAGCCCAGTGTGCTCTTCCCAAATGCCCAAAAATAAATGACTGGATCAAGAAGATGTGGTACATATTCACACTGGAATATTACTCAGCAATCAAAAAGGTAGACTCATGCCATTTGCTGCACCATGGATGGAGCTGGAAGGGATCATGCTTAGTGAAATAAGCCAGAAAAAGAAAAACACCTGTGTTCTTTCTAAGAAACTTGTCTTTCCCTGCCATTTGCACCTTGCCTTTTGTATATTTTTCAAGAACCAGACCAAAGGACCTCCATTTTTCTGCTTTCTCCTATCAGTCTAGTGTATCTCTTTCATACCATTCGCCATATACTGATATGTGCACAGGCTCTTGGGTATTAGACCATGTGTTCCTTTTGAAGCAAAGGCTTATTTATCTTTAGCAAGTTCCCCCACAGTGCCTACCACAACACCCAGAAAATTGCAGTTTTTCACAAAATATTTGCTAATCAGAATGAGCCTCCCAATAGGGCATGCATAGAATAGACTCTTGGTTTTTTAGTATTAATTACAATTCATTACCCACAATCTGTTGACCACACAAAACCATTCTTGAGAGAGAAAATGGTGACTGATATCTGATCTGACTTTTTCCTTTGTAGCTGTTGGATATCTTGAGCATAATTTACCATCACATGCCAGTGCTCAGACAAAGAGAGGAAAGTTTTCAATTTGTGCTGGAAGCCATCTCCCAGTTAGCAAACTTTCACATGGATGCTGTTGTTGCCAACCTCTTACAGAAGCCTCTGCCCTTTGACAGGTAGAGTCTGACCGAACTGGTCCTTTCTCCCAAAAGTCTTTATGCAAAAATTTGTGGTCTGAAAGAGAACAATGGTTGAAAACATGACAACTTGTTAATAATTTTAAAATCAGTATTTCATCACAAGTAATGCTTACCTAAGTGTTTTTCACATATATAATGATCATAATTTTTTTTAATACACCATAGGAGGGAAGAAGAAGTAAATTTGAAAAGGTAGCATTTCTCTTGTTTCTGGTTGCCCAGAATACACCTACATGAAAAAATCACTGTTTTAATGGACATTATCAAAACTCAGTAACTCAAAATGCTGGACAGCTAAATAATACATCCTCGTTACTCCCAGACATGTCAGTGTGCCCAACCTGTGCTTGAAATTCTGACTAGCTGTAATACGGTGTTTAAGCGAGTCAGAATAAAAAGGTCGTGTTCTGAGGAGTTGAGCCTTATCAGCTTCCTGTCCTGTCACCCTAGGGACATAAAGACATTGTGGAGGGCTCTGGCTGAGAACCCAGCCTCCAGGGAAAAGCTCTTGCGAGCCTTGGTAGACAATCTGGACGACCAGTTAGAAGACGACCTAGCCGGGATCGATGCAATAGCAGTGAGTTGGGCTAGCCATGGTGTGCGTGGATCCCTCTACGATGGTCCCGCCAGGACCTGGTGATGCAGCACTAAATCCACCTGTATCCTCTCATACCTCTCATATCCTCTCATATCCTCTCATACCTTAATTTGTAAATCAGTGCCATTTTATAGTGGACAAATACAGCAGCATTTCTGTCTGTGACTGATCACTTTTGGAAGCAAATTTCTCATCATCCCAAAGGAAATCAGGGTATCTGTATTTCCAAATTAGTCTCCAAGATCTCCAAAGTAGCCTCTTTTACTTAAAGATCCACCCTTCACTTCTTTTTGCCTGACTAGTCCCACCCAGCATGGAGTCATCCAGTGTGGCAGTCCTGAGGGAGGAGATAGTCTGAGTTAAGATTTTTCCAGACACAAAGAAAAACCCTGTTCGGTGTGTTTTTACCCTGCGCATGATCAAGTCAGAATCCCATCCTTTAGGGAGAACACAAACTTGAAGGTCAGCCCAGGGAGAAATGTCTGGAGAAAACGAGTCTGTCTGATGCCGAGGTCCTTCTTCCCTCAGGTGTCCTGTGCCATACATGAAGTGGTGTCCACAGGCACCCCTGTCATACACTTATACCCAGAGCTCTTCACTCTTCTCCTGAAGCTGGTGAGCTGCACTCTGGGCCAGAAGATGCCCACTTCTTCCTTGAATCGCCGCCGGCGGGTGATGCAGCAGGGAGAAAGGCAGCAGCTGGCAGATCCCTGCAGGTGGGTGGTCAGGCCGGGAGGGTTGCAGAGCTGCCCAGGGGAGGTGCTGTGGGAGTCAAGGGGTGTTCCCGCCTGTGTACCACAGCTCCCCATGAAGAAATAGGTTCTGCAACCCCAAAAGGGTCACATAGCAAACAAGCAGCTATGTCTTTTCACCTAGAGGGCCTGCTCTGTTTCCTTTGTTTCCTTTCATTGAGATATTTTACAAGGAAATCTGGAATTTTCTCATAAAGCCACCAGGGCAAAAGGAAAACAAAAGTAAATATCATATTTCATCCAATCTAAGACTGCACTGATTGCAATATTGTTTTATGGACCGTTGAGAAAGAAAAAGAAGAGTTCTGATTAAGCCATGAATCAATGTTTTCTTATACATTCAAGTTTTTATTTTGCTTTTATCCAAACAAATCTTGCTTTTATCCAAAGAAATCTAAAAGTGGAGTAAAATGATGATTGTGGGTCAATTTTTATTCTATATCATGTGGCTCTGTTTCTCTGTCCCTTGGCATAACATTTCATTCCAGTGCCATATCAACCTTTTCAGAGACATTTGTATTTAGTTATATTTCAAATTCATACTTGGAATAATTTTTGATGTAGAGATGATGTTTTTATTTTTTTTAAGATTTATTTATTTATGCATACAGAATTAGGGTGCAGGCAAGAGGAGCAGGGGTGGTGAGAGGATTCACCAGAGACAGAGTGGGGAGCAGAACTGGCAGATCAATGAAATACACTGCTGAGGAGAGCAGCAGGCAAGACAGGAGAGGTTTGCTGCGCCATGTGGTCACCTCCAGGCCCGGGATGGAATGTGCACTGAAGGGGCTGTGGCTAACTTGCAGTGCTATGCTCTAACCCATTACACCACCAGGGAGGGCCCCATATTAAAAAAAAAAAAAATTATTGCTACTGAAGTACCATTGTTCTACTTCCTTGCCAGTGTTTTGACACTGTGAGAATTCCCCCATCAGATGGAATCACCATAGATTCCCCAACACTGAAGCACGCAGAGCTTCCAACCATGGACCATTGCAGTTAGGCTCAATAGACATAGTTTTGCTGAGACATGTAAGTTTACTGAAATGACAGCACAGTGAAGAGCCAGGCCTAAATCTATGCATGCTCGTGGCTGGACAGCAGAAGCTGCAGCACGACCCCTGTAACACACTGTTTACTGCAGATGCATCCTGACCCCATAGTGCTCTTTTAGAATCAGTAAAATGTGGTATTTTGCCCTTCCCATTCTGAGTGTCCTTTTCTCAGAAGAGTTTGTAAAGATTTTGTGGCATTATTTACTGTCCAATTGTCTTGATGTCCTCTTTGGCCTTAGAACTAAAGTGTGAAATGACACTGCCTGTTTCTTCCTTGCACAATTTCCCTTAGCCCAGGAGTGAGGAGGCATAATGGGGAACAGGAAGAGTGAACTTGGAGCTTCACGCCCCCCACATCCCACATGGGGTTCACCTACCTCTCTGATGCTCTGATGTCTCCTTCAGGCTCTCCACGGTAACTTTGAAGTGCGTGCAAACCCAAGCCATGAAAGAAGGCCTTGCCAAGGAATCTGATGAGGGGGACAACTTATGGACACTGCTCTGCAGTCCCAGTACCCACCACATAGGAGTCTGTGCCCTGGCCAGGTAAGGTGCAGATAGCCTAGAACTGGATATGAAAGAGAAAACTAAAAGTGGAGCAGAAATTCAACTTAGGCAACTTCATTGAGAGAAACTACCTCACCAGGCACTTACAGTCAAGATGAAAGAAGGAATAAAGAACCAAGGGGATTTGGAAAAGATGGCAGAATCAGCCCCCAAACTCAACGCCCCCTCAAAAACTAGTAATACAACAAAGAGTGGGGCAAGTGACATTAAATGGGGCACGTGGATAGAATCTTCTACAGTGTATGCCTTGGTGTTCTTTCATGACACAGTTCTTTTTAGGTGATTTCTTTTCCTGATAGAGAGTAAAATTTCTTGCATTGTCTAGAAAGGGGTCTCTGCTACACCTGGAGCCTTGCATTTTCTAGGAGCATGGCAGTATGGCAACACAAGGTCATCCTGGACGTTATTGAACTGCTACTCTCATCTCTCACCTCCTCCTCGGAGAACTACCGGATCACCGGCACAGCTTTCTTCTCAGAGGCAAGCGCAAGCAGTCATCAGAACAGGCTTGCTGGGTCCCTCTGGGGTCTGTTCCTCAGGACCAGTAGTTCAGCAGTAGCTGGAACCAGGAAACCAGGACCTCCTCAGAGATCTTTAGACATACCCCAGTAGGGAGGAGAGAGAAAGAATCCTCCATCTACTTCTTCCTGCCTTCTGGTCTTTAGAAATTAGCCTCCCCGAACAGAAAGGAACAGAGAATAAACCTGAGAAGAACCAAACCAAAAGGAACCAATAAGTATATCACTGGTCCCCTTTTGCCCTGGGATAAAGGCTATCCCAGACACCCAGAAAAGAAACACTGTCTGCTGTCTGTTTTCATGTCCCACTTCCGTTTTAGGTTAGATAAACAACTTCTTAACTAAGTATTCAGGGAGCCATCACCACATTAACCTTGTCCAGTGGGCTGCTTACATCTCGAGCCTGTTTCTGTGAGACTCGATGATTCACCCAACGTTTTACTCCTCTGTTCCTCATTCATTCTAGTTAGAACATCTCTGACACTCTGCTGTAGGGATGCCCCTCCCTTCACTAAGGGGAGGACTGTATCATTTTCAGCTGGTAAGAGAGCCGATCCTTTGGAAGCAAGAGTATCTACAAGATATTCTCATCCTCATGGATCAGAGTGCCTGGGACACCAATGCCACTTTAAGGCAAATGGCCATCCGAGGCCTTGGTAATATGACTTCTGGAGCCCCCAACAAGGTAAAAGGGGGGTTTTTGGTGGGGGTAGGGGAGGAATCACTTATTTAAGTAGAATTTGAGTAACTATTTCCTAAGCCATACTCATGGTTACAAAGAAATTAAGTAGAAATCCAAATAAGTTGTTGAATGGTGACTCTTGGGTTGAAGTCCATAATACCCTCTCAGACTTCCAGCCCCCTTTGTTGGGGTCTCCTCCCCTATCCCAGATATATGTAGCACAAATTTTGAGATTAAGAGTCCTTATTTCAAAATAGGTAAAGAAGCATAAGCAGATAATATTAGAGTCTATCATCAGAGGCCTGTATCACCTGGCCCGCACAGAAGTTGTCTGTGAAAGCCTGAAGGCTCTGAAGAAGATCCTGGAGCTGCTTACAGACCGAGACGTGAGCTTCTATTTCAAAGAAATAGTGCTGCAGACAAGAACCTTCTTTGAAGATGTAAGTGAGACTGTTCAGGAATCTCCCCTCCATGGAAGGAATGAATGAACAGACAATGTCAGTCAGTGTCCACTGGTCTGTGCTGGGGGGCTTACCAACACAGAGGTCACCAGTACAATTCCTGTCAAGGCTGTTGACTTCCTGAGTCTCTTTGCCAGAAGGTACTGTCTGGACTGAGAATTATGACTGGTCTCAGCAGAGAAATACCCCAAACAATGGGAAATAGAATCTATAGATAACTCCCCAGCTTTCCCATGCCTCAGAGAGCTTGAACTCCAATGGCCCATACAGGTAGCATATTCATACTGGTCCCTGACACCACTTTCCTCTCTTTCCTAACTCATTACCATACCCCCATCATGCTTCTTGAGCTCACACCCCCAAATAAATAACTTATGCCTAAAGGCCCTCCCTGGCAGTGCAGCAGGGTAAAGTGCAGCACTATGAATTTATCTGAAGCCACTGAAGCATGAGTTTGATTCCTGATCGATCTGGGAGGTGACCCACATGGCATGGCAGACTTCTCCTGACCTGCCCGCTCTTCCCTGCAGCAATGTATTTCAGTACATTTGCCTGTTCTGCTCCCCACTCTGTCTCTGGTGAATGCTCTCATTCCCTACACCTCTGGCCTGTACCCCAGCTCTTGTATGCATAAATAAATAAATCTGAATAAATAAATACATAAAATAACATATGCCTAAATCCTCATCTCAAAGTTTGCATTAGCAACAACACAAAATATGACAATTCTCAAAACAGTATAGGGGCCCACATGGAGACACTGTCTCCTCCAACACTGTCAAAACTTAAATGTTTGCCTGAGTCATTTCATCCAGGAGTTAGTATAAACTATAGCTCAAGGGCTAAGTCCACTCCACAGCCTCTTACTACAAGTGTTTTTTGACCCAAACACAGCCACGGTCACTGGTCACATGTTGTCTTTGACAGCTTTACATATTCCTCAGCACAATTGACCGGTTTTTACAGAAACCACATGACCCTCAAAGTCTAAATAATTTACTATCTGTTCTTTCATAGAACAAGTTAGTCAACCCTGGATCTAGTCCACTGTCATATTTTCAAAAAAGATTGGTCAGGCATCCCAGCTAGCGGGGGTCATTTTCCTTTATCCCCTCTGGAAAACTAGACTTTATCATTTATTCTTGGTATGTTTACTCTTAACCTATTTCACCTCTAATTAAATCTATTTTTTGTGTGACCTCGACCCGTTTCTCCATGTTGTGCTATCGGAGATAGGAAACTGCTAGCCGCCTCCTCTAGTGCATCCTTCCTAAACGTGAGGCTTTATTACATTGCGCATTTACCTCCCAGTCTTCCTTTCCTTCATTATTCATCATAAACTCATTTATATTGTTAGCAACAAGAAACCTACTTTATTTTTTATTGCAGTAACATTCATTTACTTTGCTGGTTGTGAATTAATAGTATCAGGTCTCACTGTCAGGTGCTGTTACCAACCACATCCACCCACCAAGACCCCCACAGTTCACCTAATCCATGAGTGTCTGACTCCCCATCTTGCTCTCAGCCCTCTGCCTCCCATAAACTTAATTTTTCAGCTCTTTAAATATTTTACAATCCAGAAACTGTGTTGCTCTCTAAATGAGGCTTGAGAAGTATTGAATAGAATCTGAAGAAAAATGACCTCTCAAGTCCAATCTTTTTCTACTTATTCACTTCAGTTTTTTCTTTTAATCCTGCCCTAATTCTTCCTAACTCTTTGGTGATTTATTAACCATACAGACATCTAGATTTCAGTCTGCAATAGGACCTCACAGTCAGTAATTCTCCAGGTTTGCATTTTTCAGTTTTCCAGCCTCCACCTGGCCTCTGACAGCAGCTTTCTGCTTTTATCTAATGCTTTCCCCCAATTTATCAATATTACTTTTGGTTTTCACCTTGTCCTCAGAAATGCTTAATATGCGCCATTCAGTTTAGTATCTTCTACAAACTAATAAATATATTCTTTCTTTTCATTTCACAGCTAATTGATGACAATCTTTTATCTGGCTAATGTTGCCCATACAAAACCCCACAAACCTGGTTTCCTGGGTGTAATTGTTGATCCAGTGATGATAATGTTTCTATTTCTTTCCCATTACAGGAGTGCACAGCTCATTTGCACACTTAGCTTTACAACTTTTCCCTAACCAGCCATCTTTAGCAAGTCTGGAGATCTTTGTTAACTTCCTTTTTCATGGGATTTCATTTATGTGCCCACTTCTTATGAACTTTATTTTGACATCAAAGTTAAATTCCCCATCTCCCCTCCCCCCTCACACTTTTAGAAATGATTTCTATTGACCCTGATCATTAATAATTAACAAACAGAATAACAATGATTACTAATAACTAGTAGCAGACTATTACTTAGTAGTAATGGTCTAAATAATAGTCTGCTCTCCAGACTGATGTTTTCCTTTATCTTTCTGCCTTCATATGTGTATTTTGAACTATTTTCCTAGACTTGAAAAAAAAAGCCATAATATTCATCAGAGTTTGTTAGAATTATAAACTGAGTCAGCAAATATCTTAGGTCATAAAAGGCCAACTTTCTCCACCACCTTAAACTTTGACCTTTCAAACCACCACCTGCCTTCCTGAACAACACACTTAGCTCCACAGCTTCACATGTGCGGAGAGATTGATCAGCCTCTCCGAGACCCAAGCCCCAAACTTCTTAGCTGCTTATAATCCCTTTAGAAAGACCTTTCCATCTTGGGAATGTGTCCTTGGCCTTGGCCAATGTAGAATAGAGGTACACAATGCTAGGTTTATGATATCATTGGGCTAATTTGTATAAAACCCCAAACAAGCAGGAATCCTCCAGGCCTTCTGCTCTTGCTTGTCATTCCTGTGGTCATATTTTCTGGTCCTGTCAGCTGCTCAAGGGCAGAAATCAAGTGTCTGACTTGAAGGAAGCACTTGAGCTGCAGACCCGTGGTTATTTAACCTTGTGTAGCATGGGTGAAGAGCTGCTGGGAAGGAGAGGAGTGTTCTTGGAACTTGTTGGGGCTGTGAAAAGAATGCACTGGCGCTTGGGCTCCAGTCTCTCTTGCTGAAGGGGAGCAGGGAAAGAGAGGTTAGGGGGTGCTAGCAGGGAGCAGCAGGGAATGGTCTCACCCACGAAACACATCTGTTGCCACAGGAGCAGGATGATGTAAGACTGACTGCCATCCTCTTATTTGAGAATCTGGCATCCCTAACAGGAAGAAGGTGGAAAATTTTCTTTGCTGAAGAAATTAAAAAGAGCATGATTTCATTCCTTCTCCACCTCTGGGACCCCAATCCCAAGATTAGCGCTGTAAGTGGCCCAGCCCAGAGCCCACACCTCTTCCTTTCCCAGTGGTGTCAGCACCAGTAAGCCTGGTCTAGCTGGTCAAAAGCCAGACCTGAAGTCACCACAGCCCACCTCCAGAGCTCTGCTCTCCAGCCTGGCTTCTTTGCTGCTATCTCTCCACGCTGGCATCTCCATCCTTAAAACTGGGAAGGTGCCAGCCTGGGCTACAAAGCCCTTCACCTCCTTGACTTTGACTTCTCTTTTTCAATACTTATCAGTGTTCCTTCCTTTCGGGAAGGGGACTCCAGCGTGATGGACTGGGACACAGAAAACTGCTTTTGTGTTTGTACTTTTAGGCATGCCGGGATGTCCTGGTCATCAGCATTCCTTTCCTGGGCCTCCAAGAAGTCAGTGGAGTATTAGATCATCTCCTTGATGGTCAGGATCTGCCAAGGGCCAGGGACTTCTACAGGCAATTCTGCATAAAACTGGTAAGTACACAGTAAATGATACCTCCAGAAATAGGCACGGCAGAAGTTGGGGCAAAGCCCGGATGGGCAGACGCTGCAGTGAGGAATCCTGGTCAGATCTGAACTGGCTTGGAATGGAGGTGATGATTTTTGGCCTCCTGCCACAGTACTCTCTCTGCTCCTTACCCCGGTCCTGACCGTGGTCAGGTCTCTCAGATCCCTGACACACACCTGTTGATTAGTGCTCTGAGACTCATTCCCTTCCAGATTCAATTTAAATGGAGCTAGTCATCCAATGTTTTCTGACAGAATAGTGAATGACTGTGGGAGCAGTCGCTGGACTTCAGATGTCTCTCCTTGGGAGCCTGTGGGGTGCTGACCTTCACAAAGGTCACTTCCCAGTGCCTTCAGTGAAATGTACATCTCCATTAGGCGAAGAAAAACCAGGAAATCCTGTGGATTCTCCACACCCACTCCTTCACCTTCTTCAACAGCAGCTGGGAGATGATCAGGAGCGCTGCCATCAAACTTACAGGTGAGGCACGTCCTGTTCCCAGGCTGGTGTTGGACAGTTTTCCACCTATAGTTTGCTCTGACTGGAAGCTGCCACAGTCTGTTCAAGCTCTACAGCTAAAGAAAAGGCCAGAAAGATTTCGTTTAATGTCACGCAACACCTCCCCTCAAAGGAACCTGATCTCTTTGTGAATGAAGATTTATACTGATTCTGCCTTCCAGGCACTCACTGTCCTCCCAGCACACAGCCAGGGGCCCTCCACATTCCCTCATCATTCCTTCTCTTCCCCAAGTCTTTTCCTCAAGCCTGCTGCTGTATCTCTTATGTTTTCCTCCCACTTACCCCTAACTTCGCCCATAGTGACCATTCTAAGGGCTGGTCGAGCTGAGAGCTTTTCTAGCAATGAGATGCAAAGGAAAGCGGGTATGTGGCCTGCTGGCCTTGGCTCTGCTGTGTGATTCTGGATAATTCACTTACCTTCTCTGCTTGGCCCCTTTGTCTGATCTATGGGATAAAAGTGAAAAAAAGTAAATCTCTGAGAATAGAATCCGCAATCCCAAGTATTAATGTGCACACTCACTAAGCCACACTTAAGACTGAGTCAAATCCAGTCTAAGATTCCCTTCCAGACCATGCACGTGATCCCCCCAACTACTTTGTAAAAATTTCAAAGAACCCAGTCTTACACAGTTAGACACCCTAACAACATCGGGCTCCCCCTGAGAGGACACTGTATGAGCTTCCCAGATACATGGGTGTGATGGACACTGAGGGCATCGTGGTGGGGGTGGGGGGGCATGAGGGTTGCTGGGGGAGTCATAGATTCAGCTGCTTTGTTAGACCAATCATTGACATTCTGTTCTGGGCTGATGTTCATGGCCACATACCCTGTAATGAAATCAGTATCCTTGTCTCCTGTTGACTCTAGATGCCATTATTGTCAATTTGACCAGTCAGTACTTGACACTGTTAGACAGAGAACAACTGACCACACGTGAGTACCAAGCCCAGTGTCTTCCCGGTGTGTTATTAATTCTTTTTTTTTTTCAAAGATTTATTTATTTATGCATACAATGCATACAGAACTGTGGTGCAGGGGTGGTGAAAGGATTCACCAGAGACAGAGTGGGGAGCAAAACAGGCAGATTGAAATACACTGAAATACACTGCTGCAGGGAACAGCGGGCAGATCAGGAGAGGTCTGCAGCACCATGTGTGTCTCCTCTGGGGCTGAGGATCAATCTCATGCTGAAGTGGCTTTAGCTTCTTGGTGCTGTGCTTTAACCCACTGCGCCACCAGGGAGGGCCCATTATTAATTCTTAGAGAAAGAAAACCTAACACAGCTGCAAGTCCATGGGGACCCAGGCATTGGAAATCCTGTGTCCCGTTATTGTCTTTGAAGCTTCCTAGCCACGGGGATTCCTACAGGAGATAATGCCACCGTCTGCTGCCTTTGCTGCAGACTTGCCCAGCAGACTGTGATTTTCTGGGTGTCTTAACCTACTGAATGCAAACTCAGGTGCCTTTTCTTCCTTTATTTCAATGTTAAGGTGGATTCTCAATGTGTGGCTCCAAATCTTACCTTTTAGGGTACAATGTGAGCCTGGGGACCTGAGCCCTACAGAGGGCGGCCCCTCAATTGGGAGACTCACTGTGCTTGGACTCTGCTGTCCTTCTTCACTCACCTTTGCTATTCTGTGCATTTCAGGGCTTCAAGCGCTTCGTCAGGACTCCTGTGTCAGCGTCCAGAGAGCAGCAGAAGCTGCCTTACAGACCCTCCTGAGAAGGTGTAAAGAGATAAGGATCCCTCCTTAAGCTAGGAGGAATTAAACTGCTAGGCTTTTTCTATAACTGCCTCCTGTCTTCCTCCTCAGCATCCTAGCTTCTAGCAAAGAGACTTTCTCATCCTTGATGGAAACTAGGTAGAATGACCACCTAAAACACATTGGCTGAAACTTTATCTGTCTAGACCATAATCTTAGAAGGATTCACTCTGGCAAGGATTTCCAAGACTCCTTTTATTACTTCCCAGTTCCACCACTTATTAACCAGGTGACTTGGGAAAACACTTAACTTCTTCGTACTTCACATCTGCAAAATGAGGAGAATAATTATCTAATTCAAGGTGCTATTGTCAGGATTACATGGGTAATAAGTAAAGCATTTAAAGCCTGGCACAGAATCACTGTGAAGCAAATGTTAACTACATAATATAAATATTAATAATGTTAAGAAATGTATCATTAGAATCACAACAAAGATTAACATACACTTAGTAATGTGTGCACCACATCAGTGCTAAGTCTGCCCTGCATGCAGCCAAGTCTCTGTGCTGCAGGTAAAGCAGCCTCTCCATCCTGTCAGGGAACCCTAGTTCAGGGGGTTGCTCCTGAGCACGCTGCTCCTTGCCACTGCAGGAGCTCATCAAAGCCTTCTTCACCCTCCTCATGGAATAAGCTACCTTCGGCTGAGTGACAGGAGAAATTTCTCTCTGCTCCCCCAACAATTATTTCTATGAATCCCTCCCAACGGCTACTGTTCACTCTCAGAGGATCACGCCATCCTCCTGGGTGCTTTTCTTCCCAGACAGACTTCTCCACCTCTAGTGGTTCAGCTCTACCAGTCACACATGGGCACATTATCCAAGTGAGAAAACTTTTCAGGGTCTCAGGGAAATCGAGATATGCAGGAAAAGCATGTTCAAGTACTCTTGAAGAAATTACAGGCTCCTTCTAGTTTCATTCTGGTTACTTGCCTATTATTCGCACATATAATCATTTTTCAACTTGTGTTTACTTCATGATGGCGAGTGAGTGATATTCATAAACTACTTATTCAGTTAACCCTGTTCTAAAGGATGCTGAAGCACATTATTTTGCAGTTCAGTCCCCTGCCCTTTCACCCAACAAGGAGAGCCAGCTTTCTGCTGGTAAATCAGGGACGTTTAGCTTGGCTGACCCTGCTAAGAAAGCAATTTTACCAGAAAAAGAGGAGAACAAAGATCAAGGGTGGGAACAGGAAAAGGCTTCCAGAAAAAGAAGTCAGGGGAATTGCCTTATGGGAATTGTCACTGTGCAACCATGGTTTAAAAGGATAAGACACAAGAACAGACACTGCTTTTGGAATCCCTCAAAATAGTCCTAATTGATAGCTATGATTTTTAATAGTACTTTATTATGACTGGACTTGGCTCCCAATCCTATTACCCTTCAGATGACCCAAGTATGAAACTCTAGAATACTCAATCAGACCCAGTAATAGGATCTTTGATCTAAGTCCCTGACAGAGTCATTTTCTAATAAGTAATACATAGCTGGTGTTAGACAATACCATTTGTTGGAATTTCTCCTTTTAACTCATTCATTATAGGTATCCCTAGAACTTAGACAGCAGAAAACATGACAGAGTCAAGAGCAACATGAGAAACAGTGAAATCCATTGCCAAATGTATGTGTGTGTGTGTGTGTGTGTGTGTGTGTGTGTGTGTGTGTGAAAAATCCACAAGTCATGACTTGAAAAGTAGCATTTGCTCCTTACCTCTACTTTACCAAACTTTATTCAGCAAGACATCTATGCTTATTCCTGGGGAAAAACTTCCTTTTTTGTTCTTGAATTGTTTATTATTTTTGAATTATTTTCCCTCCTCTACTATGCTCCACTTTCTACACATATTCTCAGCGGTAAGTCCTGAGGAGCATAGTGACTAAAGTGTTAAGACCTTCTTAACAGCACAGTGGTCAAAATGAGACTCTATTTTGGATATAGAGAACTGCTTATTATAAACAGATGAACCCGGACTCATAAATTTTTTCAGAAAGTGGAGGGAGGTCAAAATCAGCTCAATTCTAATCCCAATGGAATCAGGAAAATCATTAAATACCCTACATCCAACACACAGAGTCTCTGTGCAGGGTTGAGATTGTGAGAATGTACCAGGCATGTGGGTGGGATTAACAG